GCCCCATTGAAAGCAATTTGCTCCAGATCTCTGGGTACTTTTATCACATCCTTTTCACAGCTCCAAGGTGTGCTGAAGGAAGAATGTTCACCAAGTGACTCATTTTTGTTGAAATAATTAGCCCAACTCCCCCAATCTAGCCGATTCATCTCTGCAACTCAAATGTATAAAATACTATGCATTCCACAGCAAGAGTACTTTGTCTTCAACCAGCTTTTGCCCATAGACACTGAATCTTATATCATAAACATCTCAGCTTATGAAACTAGAAGGCCTGGACTTTTTAGTGAAACTTGTGCTGTGTTGTATGAAGTTGTGGCACTGCTGCTTACAACTGCAAACCAGCCCAGGAAATAGAACTTTGTTATACAAACTTGATAAAGAAGACATCTAGTCAGAATGGAGTCTTACTGATATTCCTTAGTACTGTAATTGGCATGGTTATTCATGGTCCGTATGGGGCATTGCAACTATGAGAATTTAAAATACATTTTTATGAAGTTCTTTGACTAGCTGTTGTTTGTCTTATTGTGGTGGTAACCCTCATTGTGTATAATTTTGTAATGAAATACTGCTACAAACAGACAAATATGTATGCTTATCTGTTTTGTTTTTGCCTTCTTATCAAATTCTCCCCACCCTATTCAAAAGGGAGAAGAGGGAGAGAAATGTTCCCAGCAGTATTTAGCTGGAAGAAAGACTAGTGGCCAAAAGCAGGTGTGTACCATCCCATTCCCAATGAACTTTGCAGGAATGCACAAAGTATTTATGTTCCGTTAAAGCAGGCTTCATCAATCTTGGCCCTCCAGATGTTTTTGGCCTACAACTCCCATGATCCCTAGCTAGCAGGACCAGTGGTCAGGGATGATGGGAATTGTAGTCTCAAAACATCTGGAGGGCTGAGGTTGAGGAAGCCCACGTTAAAGCTACCAAATTCCACAAAAGAATTTTCCCCATCATGAGATCACCCTTCCCTACTTCAGTCATGTATTCTTCTACAATACACCCCAACAGCCGATGCAAATCCAGCAGTGTCTTTATAACCCAAACCGCAGACCTCAGGCTCTTACCACAGGTCAGGCAGGGATATGACAAAATATGCCAAGAAACACCTTCTTGTGGTTGGCTGATGAACGGACTCTCTTAAATCTAGCATGCCTTTGACGTAAGACAAGCAATGGGACAGCCAGGAAGGAGGAGTGCAGGGACACCAAGAGCCTGTTCAAAGCAGGATGCTTTCCAGAAGCACAGCAAGTACCGCCAACTCCCCACACCACTTTCCCCCCTCCCCAGAGCAAGATACAGCATAATTTGCTCATTATTGCCATTGCAAATATACCACATTCTTTTTGAAATTGGGAGATATTTAGGCCATTACGCCTACAAGGCCTAATTTGTTTTATAAGCCGATTATTTGCAGAAGTAACAGCCTGAACAAAAATAAACATTTCATGTTTTTTGAAGCAGTTAAAATTTAGGGTGAAAATGCTCACTTATGGCTTGCCCCTAAACAGTATACGTTTTGAAGCTGCTTGGGGGTGAGAATTACCTTCTCCCTAGCAATTTACAGTTTATTACGGAGATGCCAATTAACTTTTACCTGCTTGCTGAACTTAATAATAAAAAAGAGGAGGAAGCAAAAAATAGAAAGTGTCTGCGTAGATCTGGAAGCTTTGCTCCAGTTGTGGTCCTCCTAGACCAGGGTTTCCCAAACTTGGGTCTCTAGCTGTTTGTTGGACTACAACTCCCATCATCCCTGGCTAGTAGGACCAATGATCAGGGATGATGGAAGTTGCAGTTCAAGAAACAGCTGGAGCCCCAAGTGTGTGAAAAGCTGTCCTAGACCCAGAAAGCAATCTGGTCACCACTCATGTTATATTCTTCCTGACAACAGGCTTCCAAACAATACAGCCACAAAACAACAAGTTACATTAATCAGATGTTGCAACCACATATTGAGAAGATGCATTTATGAAGAGCAGAGGAGGGGAAGAAGAAAAGAGAGAACTTTTAACAGGGGAAAGTAAGCAAGAGTGAATACAGTCGTACCTTGGTTGTCAAACGCCTTGCGATCAAACGTTTTAGCTCCCAAATGCCACAAACCGGGAAGTGAATGCTCTGGTTTGCGAATGTTCTTTGGAACCTGGACGTCCGACGGGGCTTCCGATTGGCTGCAGGAGCTTTCTGCAGCCAATCAGAAGCCACACTTTGGTTTGCAAACATTTTGGGAGTCAAATGGACTTCCGGAATGGATTCTGTTTGACTTCCGAAATCAGCAAAGCTTAAACTAAAAAAGATCGAAGGCAAGAGTCCCCCAACCAGCCCCCTCAGCAGAAACCCTGCACAAGGATTTCCACTTGCATAATGGGGCTTTGCCCCTCTTCTCCCTGCTGAGGTCCCTCCCTCAAAGAACTTCCAGAGCAACCTGCAAAAACAGCTGGAAGAGGAGAGGACAGACGGCGAAGAAAGAGCTATGAGCAGAGGGCGGTCATTTCCCCATCCTTTGAAGCCCTGGAACTGGGTGTGGAGAGTGCAGCTGAATGGGACATAGCTGTGGGCAGACTGAGGAAGTACCAGTCACAGGGAGAGACTAGGGTGATGGTAACGTTTTCAGTAACTCTTCCCCTGAGACTTTTGTGGGTGAGCTGAGAGTTTGATTCGACCCTGGGTGAGAAGCCAGGGCTGAGAGGCAGTGTCAGAAGGAAAATGAACCGATACTGATTTATATATACATGTAAGTTTGTATTAATGTAACATTTTTATATATAACAATGCATTTTTGTAACACTTTAAGTTGTCTGTTGTTGCTTCAGCTTTTTGTACACCATTCAGAGGTATAGATATATTAAGTGGCATAGAAATTAAATAAACATCTTGACACAGGCGTACCACCTCATCTTCTCTTCGCAAAAACTAAGCCTTGAACATTAGCCAGGGATAAAGATTGTGAAATTCTTCAGCAATAAGAGACAACCAAAGCAAAAGCATGGCATAAGTAGAACAAGTAACCATTTCCCCAGTGCCTGCTATCAACTTATTCCACAGAATAAGCAATTACGATTCATGGAAACAACACTGAGGACTTCATAAATTACAAATGCAGCACTCATTCATTCAATAGCAATTTCCCTAAACAACTAGAACATGAGTCTTCAGGCACACACATTTAGTATTTTAGCTCCACCATCAAATAGGAAACTCAGAAGATTAAGCAGGACTTCAACACAAAAGGCATAATGTTCTCCTTCACCTGTCATTAATCTCATGCTCCTTTGCCATTCATAATAGTCAGCATGAATCAACAGCTCATCAAGCTTACATAGCATATTTACTCAGTAAAGCACCCTGACACATGTACATGCTGACAATGCAGTGCGGTATAAACTAAAAGTGCCTTACTAGGTCTGGGGAGAGCAGAGTTCAAAACCCCTACTAAGCCATGATGTTCACTGGGTGACCATGAGCCAATCACTAAGTTTCAACCTAACTTACCAAACAAACCTTGGGATTTTTACAAAGATGGAGAGAAGGGAGCACTTATGGACTACTCTGAAGTCACACCCACACCATCCATTTAAAGCATGTGGCTCCCCTCAAATAATCCTGGGAACTGTAGTTTGTTAAGGGTGCTGTGAATTGTAGCTCTGTGGGGAGCAAACTACAATTCCCAGGATTTTCTGGGTAAAGCCATCTGCTTTAAATAGGATGGTGTGGATGTGACTCAAATTTCTGATTTGCTGCTGCTTCACCAGATGGATAAAAGGGACGCGGGTGGCGCTGTGGGTTAAACCACAGAGCCTAGGACTTGCCGATCAGAAGGTCGGCGGTTCGAATCCCCGCGACGGGGTGAGCTCCCATTGCTCGGTCCCTGCTCCTGCCAACCTAGCAATTCAAAAGCACGAAGTGCAAGTAGATAAATAGGCACCGCTCCGGCGGGAAGGTAAACAGCATTTCCGTGTGCTGCTCTGGTTCGCCAGAAGTGGCTTAGTCATGCTGGCCACATGTCCCGAAAGCTGTACGGCGGCTCCCTCAGTCAATAAAGCGAGATGAGCGCCGCAACCCCAGAGTCAGTCACGACTGGACCTAATGGTCAGGGGTCCCTTTACCTTTACCACCAGATGGGTATAAAAGGAAGAAGGCAACATTCTTTCTTTTTAGAGCCCCAGATGCATAATAAATTTCAAATTTTTTAAAAAAGAATTTACTGCATTAGCTGCCTAGAGTTCGATTATGTTTTACTTGGACAGCTCGTCATGCAATTTAACTATCCATTTTTCTGCACACAATAAACATACTGCTGTTTTTAAAACCAAACTTGAGAAAAGGTTTACTTAGGATGATGAACACATAAAATGCCAGAAATGCAGTTCACACAGAATAATGTTCACTCCAGATCACAATAATATAAAACTTGCGTAAAACAACTTCAAAATTTTGTTTCCTGGAACGCAAGATAAGCCTGAAGGTAGCTTGAGCAACTGGGGAAGTAACTGATATATTTAAAAAACAACAACCCAAAAACAAATAAAACAATAAAAGCCATTTCCGCAGCAGAGTTGAGAAAGTTGTCGCACACTAAGAGAAAGCTCTGTATTTCTGAAACTACTAGACTGAATCATCACCTGCATTGGCACTTGCTGTTAAAGAGCTTAATCATCCCTTGCCCTAAAGGATTCATCATGACTATGCAATACTAAACGGCTTTGAGTGCATAAATTTAGATTGTCAGGCTGCCTCCACACACCACCATGTCCTCTCAGCCTAAACCAATGACAGGGAGGTGTGGCCTTCCAGGGGCAGAGCGAAGGTGAGGCTGGTTCAATGTGTGTCCAGAACTCTTCTCCACACACACACACACACACACACACACACACACACACAGCGCCACTCCTAGAAGGGATCCGGTACCATGTGACCTATCTGGCGTTTACCCGGCAGCCAATCAAAATGTCGCCGGCACAAGAGGCAATTTCATTCATAAACTGGAAGAGAGTGTAATCTTACACAGTGCCACGAAACTTTGAAACGGGATTTCTCTCGCACGGGACCATTTTTGCCAAAGTGAAGCGAGCCAACTGAGCTTCACTTCTGAGCTTTTTAAGACGGAACCATGAAGCCCTGCGCGGCTTCGCTCCAGGCTGGGAGCCACAGAACTGCATGTAATCCTTTCGAACACAAACGCCCACGTCTCCACCTAGGATATAAACTGAAATCCACTCCCTTCCTGCAACCGGGGTCAATCCGCTGATGACACACGTCTCTCGGGAGATGCACGCGGAGCATTGCCCTCGCCATTCTGCCCATCGGGGGAGACCAGGGCAGGCGAAACCGAGCGGGGTCGCGCCTTCATCTCTCACCCCCCCCCACCCTGCAGACACCCCGGCAGAACAGGAGCCGATTGCCCCCCACCTCCCCCCCCAGCCAGCTGTCTTCCTGCTCGCAAGAGAGGATTTAAAAGGGGGCTGATCGCCTCCCCACGCCTGATACTCACGGCAATCTGCCTCGTCACTATTATCTGAGCAATCGTCATCCTCGTCGCATTTCCAAATGGAAGGGATGCACCGCTCATTCCGGCACTGGAACTGGTCCTCTTCGCACTCCTTGGCGGAGCCTGCAAGCGGCAAAGGGACACCCGGAGTTTTAGAGGGGTGGTGGGTCGAGGGGGGAGCCCCCTCCCTCCCTCCTGCATTCCGGTCCCCCAGCCATCCCTTCCACAACCCGCTTGCAAAACGGCAAGCAAGCCCGGAGCGTTCTAGGCCACGTTCTCCGCGAGAAGGCGCAGAAAAGCGCACAAAGCCCCATCTGCATACAAGGAAGCATCTCCGTCGGGAAACAATGCTCCTCCGCCCCCCCCCACCCGGCGCGTGCCCATTTTGGGGAGGCGGCACGGATCGCGCTCGGGGACAGAAGGCAGGCATGGCTCAGGCGGGATAACTAACAGCAGCAGCAGCAACAACAACAACAAAGGGTCATTCCAAGCCAAGTGGGAGAAGGTGCGGGAGCCGCCGCTGTTGCTTCCTAAAACATAAGCCTCACCCCCCGGCAATGTTTCAAAAAGAGATGGGGGGGGGCGATGAGAGCCAAAGGTGCAGATATGGCACCTTTCCTCAGCCCAATTCCTGAAGGCACATTGTATTAGCCCAGTTGGGGGGTGTGGGGGGCGGTAACGACCGATGGCAAATTGCAACGGTGCTGATCGGACCACAGCTAAATAGGAAGGATGTCCTCTGGAAAAGGTGTCCCCAGGTGAGAGGTGTCGTCCTCCCCCCCCCCCCCCGGCTTTGGCTTAAAGCGATTATCCCCTTGGAGCAGTTTGCACCGGGATATCCGTGGCTCTGTGCGCCTTGCCCATTTGCGCGTACATGCACCTCCCGGGTGGCCTCGGGGTCCCACCCGCCACGCCGAGGGTCGGCCAGGAGTTTGGGGGCAGCCAGCGCGCGCCTGGCGCTCGCCCGCTCTCTCGGCTACGCCGCCCGCGCCGCCCACCCACCTTTGGCGATGTGCATCTTGACGAGCAGCAGGTGGAAGAGCAGCAGCCTGGTGAGAGCTGGCCGGCACATGGCGTCCCCTCCTCGGCGGCTATGGGCCCCTGCGCGGCTGCCTCTCGCATGCAGCCTTCGCCAGCCGAGCGCGAACTGCGGGCGGCTGCTTCCTCCTCCCGCGTGTGTGCATTTCAGCCCGAGCCAGTGACGCTCCCGACTGGGCGGGATTTCAGCGAGCGAGCCAGCCAGACCTGGGCAGGCCCGCCCGCCCGCCCGGCAGGCGGCACCACGTGGGCGGCCGGCAGGCAGGCAGGCAGGCAAGCGGGGCCAGCCCTACAGCCAGTCCCCCTCCAAGGCAACCTCTCGCCCCTCTAGGGCTTTCGGAGTCAGCAGTGGGGTGCGCGAGGCGGCAGCTGCTGGCGGTTTCCACCAATCACTCTTTCCTCTTGCTCGCTTCCGGCAGGATTCCTGGAGGCAACCCACCGTTGTTTCTTTACTAAAAGTGGGAGGGGGAGAGAACCAGCAGGACTTCGCCCACCGGGTGATCGGAGAGGCCACCAGCACGGAAGCTAAGCCGGCTTTGGCCTGCTCGGAGCCTGGATGGGTGAGGACCTGGGAACCACGTGCAACGCCGCTTGGGTTCCGCGACGGGTTGTTGCAGCTGCTCCAGAGTGAAAGTGCCAGGCTTGCTTCTCTGAGGAAGGAATGCACTGTCCTGGGCTACGCCCCCCCCTCTGCTGATCTTAACACCCTGGAAGGTGAATTGGGAATGAACTGGCAACCAATGCAATGGTTTGAACAATTAAAAATTATGCAAATTTATGCAAATAATGTTCTAAAGGAAACCCCAGCCAGTAATCTGGCTGCTGTATTTTGGACCAGTTGAAGTTTCCAAGTTGCCAGTGTATGGAGTATCATCTCTATCCCAAAGGGTCCAGTGAACCAGCTGGAGCGGGAAATTGGCACTCCTAGGCACCAAGGCCACCTGGGCCTCAAGTAATAATGTTGGATCCAGGAGAAACTCCAGCCTATGAACCTGCTCCTTCCAAGTCATGTTACTATGTCCTGGACTTGAAAACTTGGAGCACATAATACTTCCGGCATTTCAGAATTCAGTTTCAATTTGTTGGCCCACATCCAGCCTATCATTGCCTCCAAACACCTGTTTAGCACCTCAGCCCACTCTCCTTATTGAGAGGGTACAAGCTTGGGTGCCACCTGCGTGGTGTAGTGGTTAAGAGCGGTAGTCTCGTAATCTAGGGAACCGGGTTCGCATCTCCGCTCCTCCACATGCAGCTGCTGGGTGACCTTGGGCCAGTCACACTTCTTTGAAGTCTCTCAGCCCCACTCACCTCACAGAGTGTTTGTTGTGGGGGAGGAAGGGAAAGGAGAATGTTAGCCACTTTGAGACTCCTGAAGGGGAGTGAAAGGCGGGATATCAAATCCAAACTCTTCTTCTTCTTCTTCATATTGGTGACACCTCACTCCAAAACTCCTGGGGTCGCCTTCTAGAAGCTTCAGATAGAGGCTAAATAGAATGTAGAACAAGATGGAACCCTGTGGAACACCACAGGAAAATTCCCATGGCGTTGAACAGTGCCCCTCCATAACTTTCTGGAAACAGTCCTGAATTTAGGAGCAGAGCAGCAGCAGGTACCCCCAACCTGCACCTCCTTGAGCCACTCTGGAAGGATACTGTGGTCCAGTATCTGAGAGGTCCAGAACCAGCACGGTCATGCTCCCCACATCTCACTCCTGAAAAATGTTATCATTAACCAGGATGACCATTGTAGTTTTGATGCCATGACCAGGCATGAAGCCAGACTGAAATGGATCCAGATATTCAAGCATTCCTGAAAAACCTTGTTCCAAAAAGGGACAACACTGTGAAAAGCACAAATAAATACACCATAAAACAGAACACAAAAATGCCATAACCTTGTTTTTTACCTGAACCTTTTGCAAAATAGCCCCATCAGCTTACAGTTATTCTTTGTGTATTTCATTTCATGCCCTTGCCCTTTACCAAATCTCCAACAACTAATGCTCAGAGATCCTGGGTTAGAAGACAGACTCCAAATCTCGATTTGGTTATAGAGTGGTACCTCGGGTTACAGATCCTTCAGGTTACATAAGCTTCAGGTTACAGACTCCGCTAACCCAGAAATAGTACCTCGGGTTAAGAACTTTGCTTCAAGATGAGAACAGAAATCGTGCTCCGGCGGCCTGGCCACAGTGGGAGGCCCCATTAGCTAAACTGGTGCTTCAGGTTAAGAACAGTTTCAGGTTAAGAACAGACCTCTGGAACGAATTAAGTACTTAACCCGAGGTACCACTGTAGCTACCTCCCAACCAGTGGTGTCAGTCTGGCCCTAATAGGTGTGCTGCAGCTAGAAGGAAGGATGAACTGTGAACCAGGTTTTAGGAGGCAGAACTATGTGGGTGCATGAGAAGGAAGCAAAGCAGGAGTTATAGAGGCAGAGCAGGTATATCTAATGAAGTTTATGAGAGCTGAGGGGGTGGAAGATCTGGCAAGCTTAGAAAGCAGCAGTGTTTCCTCAGTTTCATAACTGAAACCATGACATTAAACACCAAAAGATGTAATCCCGTAAAAATACAGATTAGCACATAATAGATTATTTATTTAGAGCATTTGTACCCCGCTCTTCAGCCAAAAAAAGCTCCCAGAGCAGCTTACATACAATCAAAACAAGACAGTCCCTGCCCACAGGCTTTAGATCTAAAAGAAAAATCCCATGACAAGGGACAGCGAGTATATGTAATGTTATATGTAATTATGATTTGCACTATTTGTTCATTGCACAATATTAGGATTTTTCTTTTCCCTCCCAGGCAGATACATCCCCGGGTGTAAGTTGGCTCTTGTACTAGTGCTACTGGAGAATATCAAGCAATTAACCCCCCCCCAGTGACTTTATTCAAAGGCATGTTGGTACATGTATTTCATTTTGGCTGGGAATGGATGTTCTGAACCTGGAAACTTGTTGATAGAGATGTTTGATGGGAATGGTTAAAGCTTTTGGAACAGGAGTATCATATAAAGAAAGGTGTTTGTGTGTTTGTGTTTACAACTTGATTTGACCTGGGATGTATTTATTGTGCAAGTGTACAGAGTGCTGTTGTCAATTTTGATGTGGGGAGACTGAGCGCAGAACTGCATGGTGATTGCCAAATGTGCTCTTTACCCAAAGGACACTCATTTTATTTAGAAGTAACTGTTGTGGAATCATCACACATGCACATATTTGTAACTGAGGAGAGGTGCACTCTGTGCATGCTCATGTCATTTATTTCTGAGGCTCAGAATTCTTAATCATGTCTTCCAATTTCTCAAATTAAACCCTTGGGGATGTGTCATGCTTTGATTGGGTAGAATACTGTCTGCCCATTTTTATTCTCAGTAAGCCAGCTGCCAAAGGTCTTCCCTTTAAACTTCAAAAAATGCAGGATCTGGAGGCCTAATTTTAAATTCCTCCTCTGTACCTCAGGTTCATTGTATGACATTGGCTATGTTATTCTGGTACATTTTCAATCAAAGAGATAGCCGCGGCTTGCAGCAGAAATTGAATCCCCAGAATCCTAAAAATTTACTATGATTTACTTTGCAGGGTTGTTGTGAGGATAAAAAGACTATGGCAAACTTAAAATGCTATTACAGAAAGTAGGCTGGTGCATGGGATGGTTCAGATGATAACACCCTGTGCAGAGCCTATATGTAGTATGGGAGCATGGATTGCACTCTGCCTGCACACCTCACCCAGACAAGCCTGTCCCAGGTGACAGCCACACACTGGATTTGCCAAGGACCTACATGTGAACTCCAGTGTTTGTAGACCTGAATATCCTGCTTGTGTCCCAGACACATTTTTATTTGATTTTTGGATTGGGATTTTTTCCTCCCCTTTCCCAGTTCAAAATTGGCACTAGGCAGGCTGGAGACAGACTTTTTATTTTGATTATTCCATATTTATCAGTATTACTTTTATATCCATTCCCTCATGGCTATCCAAACACAGGCATCCCAAACTCTTCCCTGTATCCTCCTCTGCCCAAGCACATGACTCATGAAAACAAGCAACTTAAAAGAGGACAGACAAAAAGACAACTCCTGTAATTCATACTGAAATATCGAAACTAGAGTACTGTGCAAACTGTAACTGTGCACCATAAGTGCAAATAGTGCAGTGAGTGACTAGCCAAAATCACAAAACTGCTCCATATTAAATGCCCCTGTAATAATTAAAGCAGACTCACCATACTCTTAAAAAAATGCTCATATACTATCATGAAGTATGGAACAATCAAATATGCAAAAAGTTTTAAAATAGCAATGCAGATTCATGAAATCACAGTCTTGGGAAGATTAATAAATAGGGGCACACTGATAAATACTTGGTTGGGAAAAAACTTATGTT